CACTGGACGACGTCATGTCATCAACTAGAGAAGATGTGATAAGACGCAGACACGTGCTACTTCGGTGTGCGGACTCGAGTCTGAATCACGAATGAAGCAAGACTGCGTCTTTTGTCTCATGTCTTGATGCTTGTCTTGACGCAGTTGGTGTGCGGCTGCTCTTACTTCCGTCACACATAAACGCATATAGCCCTCAAGGGACCGTTATTTTTGTCAGATTTCAACCAAAATTGGAAAGTGTCGACAAAATTTTGCAACACTGTCCAGTATCAAATTCCACAAATATCTCTGACGCCGTTTTAGAGTTTTTGAATGCGAACAGGAAGGCTTGATGAAGACAAAAGATGCATTTTTTTTTGCAACTTTCATCTCCAGAATGCTAGATACCGAATTTCCACATCACCTGTACCAAAACGGAAGACAGTCCATGGATAAAGAACAGTGACAGCTCTGTCGCTGAACAGCTGGTCTAGCCGCTTAGGTAAGGAAAACAAACAAAAACCAGAATTAGAACGCGCAAAGATAATATAATATTTCAGTTGTATATAACAATATAAAAGCTGTGTCTGACATGACCGGAAACCTGCAAGTTCATCCTCTGCTAATTCCTGACGAGCTAACCGGTAACTGAACCTGATCTGCTAGCCAATTTCGCATTCGAGGCTGCTATTTACGAGTATAGTATACCAAAGCCAAATTGCATCCCGCTGAACAAACCTAGCAAGGCGTAAGCCTACAAAATTAAACCACGAGTTCTCAACAAACCAATGCATGAGTTGTCACCCAGACTATAACATTACACATACCGGGTACAGCATCCAACAGAATGCGTTACTTCCAATGCATTAATCCAGAAGGTTATAAATAATAACATAGGCCTGCCGCCAGTTCTTAGAAAGAAAAACGCTAATCAATTATTGAACAGTCCACATCATCAATCAAGTAGAGTTATAGCTACAATTTTAAAAACTTTTACACTGACAAGAAGCCAATCAATTTTCGATTTCGATACTGTCTCAGCATGTGCTTATTTCACATTTTTAAATACGACTTTACGTCTGAGCTGATAAGTAACAACATTTTAGGAAGCTGTACATCGTCCAATTATAACACCATGAAAAGGTAAATTATAGCCGCTCAGCTAATTAATAAATAACATCGCCATTTATGGAACCCGTGTCCTGTCCTGAGCCAGTTTAATTCAGTGCACGTCCCTACGCGCTTATTGTTTTAAAATCCATTTTAGTATTGTATCATACGACCTACGTTCAATCTCCCAAGTACTCTTCCATTAAAGGGTTTCCGTCGATAATCTGAATGCATGTTAATAACGCTGAAAAATCACGCGAACTTTCGGTACAAGAACTTTTAACCACAGTTAATTAAAGTACAAAGATGCACTGCTGCACACACAGATGCACCAGAATGTTCCAGAAAGAGAAGAAATACCAATTATTGGACTATAGTGCATGAATTTGGCTTTACGAGCCTAAAACCTAACCGGTTCTGAAATTATAATATAATTGTTTAATAATAATAATGATTCAATTCAATTCATTTATTAAAGTGCTTAACAACAGCCAAAAAGGCCAATAACAGCCAAGCACTAACAATACAAACAATACAATAAAAAAAACTAAATATATAAATGTACAGTGTTAATTTAATGCAAAATAATTAATAAGTAAATAAACTAAATATACCTAAGTCATATAATTCAATTAATAATACTATATAAAACAAAACAAAAAAAACTTATAAAATGATGACAATAATAATAAACAACAGGGAGAAGTTTCCACTCCCAAATTCATTTCCCTACGATTAATTTCATTAATGGTATTATTCTCGCACCTACACCTAAGCCCGCAGGTTGGCCTCTCCTTTCTGGCTTTCCAAACAAAACGTACGAATTTCTGATCTTCACTCTGCCGACTTCATCGTCGACTTCGTTATTCCAAAATTATTTCGGGAACAGCACTAATTGTCAAGCTCTTGACTGTGTAATTCTTTGCGATCTCCAGTCAGTTCATCACTCCTGGGCGCAAATATATTCCTCAGAACCCTCCTCTTTACACCAAGGAACTGAAAAAGCTTTTGATATCTGGCCTCAAAAAGTAGTTTGTTCCCAAGCTATTCGATTACATTCTAATATCGATAAGAATCATTAATATACAGGATGATTCTAAAAGGACTTTACATCTTTGAAAGTGTATAGAAATCTGACACCTCAAACTACAACTTTGAAAGTGTATAGAAATTTGACACCTCAAATGATTATGTAAGGTTTCTGATTAAATTTCTAGATACCTTCAAAGTTGTAAAGTCCTTTTAGAATCATTAATATATATTGTGTACAGTCATCAGTATTATTTTTATAGCCTGAGGATACAAAACGTTTTTGAAATGCGTAGTACATACGAAAGAGAGAGTGGTACAGCAAGCTGGTCAAAGTGAACCAGCGCCAAGCGTGTGTCAGCTGGCAGAGTCCTATTCTTAGAAAGCATTTGGTTAGGTACAGAAATTATATGGATAATCCTAAAAACATTAACCAAGTGGACGCCAGTTCATGAACTCCACTTAAACGATACTCAGACAAACAAAAACATGACGAATGTGAAATAATTTAGTTTATTTTAGTGTTTATGACACATTTTACAGCGAATCATATATTTATAAATAAGCAGCTTAATTATGGGAAATATAAAATGTTTATGGGAAGTGTTTTTACCTAAATACCATTTTTGATTGCAACTATACACCAATATAAATTACGGTACTGTCTATAAAAGGGCAAAGTCCTCGAGAATGGAGAGATATTTACAGAACCCGAAAGTTCATTACCTTGTTCACCAGAGACCGTCACTAGCAGCTATCCGATGACAAATTAATCGCTTCTAATCATCTCATTTGACAGTCGTGAATTTGTGCAAATCATTCTGTTCATGTTGCTCTCTCATACGTTTGACGTGTATATATTACACTCTGAAGTTTCCCCAAATGCTCAGTGCCATTGTAAATTTTCGAACACCTATCGGCAGCTTTCAGCAATACAGATGGCCATCATCATCGTCCTGATGACGGAGGCAGTACGCACCTCCGAAGCGTTGGTCAACTTATGATACTACAGGCGCAATATGCCGGAAAGCTGGCGGCTAATATGAAAATGGTCGTCTTCCGGCTTGCTGTAGTATGGCAGATGTTTCAGGGTGTCGATGGCGGCAACAAGCACCTCTGAAACGTCGGTAAAATTCTGTCAGACTACAGAGCGCAAAAACCCAAAATGACAGCTATCCTCAAGCTAGAAAAAATTCACACGAATCACAATACATAAATCCATAGACAATTTTGAAAAAAGTGTAAAATACACCAATCCGAAGTCAGAACTAGCTAGTTCTTTGTAACTTTAGTCGGCTTGCACAATCAAGCTGCATTTCTGTCGCTATTATTCATTCGCGTTTTGTAACAACTTCAAATTCTACAGAATAAACAAGAATAAAGGAAGGACGTCACGCCACTGATACAGATGCGGTCCTATTATTCTTCTGTTCACAAGAATGTACATGAGTCATCCTGTTTCTTACCCACAGGCAACGACCGATACTACGAAGCACGACTTGTAAATGTGTATTTTGTGCAACTTTGCACAATCCGCGGAAACGCACTCGTAACTGTATTCAATATTAACCTCCCGATTACGAAGATGTGCATGTAAGTGGTTAGCATGGCCGATTCGTATTCACCGCGTAGCACATTCGATTTTTTCCCCCTAAGGTATTTCATTTCTGAGATTCATAATTCTCCATAGTCCAAGAATGCGAATGCTGGGATAGTATCTCAAAACAAGTAAAACACCTTCCTCCCACCTCAACATTCAAAGTCATAGGCAGGGCCGTTGAACAAACGACTGTTCAATTATTCGTAAATTTGTGCTATTCTAACATTCTCCCACGAAAGCGTGCATCAGAACTGTTGGATGTAAAACTATCACAATGATTTATCAATCTCCCCGCTTCCAGTCTGACCAGATGCCCACATTCTTCGGTTCATTAGAATATAATGGAAATGCTCCCACTTACCTTACTGTCGACATCCGTTTCTTCTGAATCCCTGATGAGTGGTTCGATTACCTCACTTACTGTCGACATCCGTTTCTTCTGAATTCCTGATGAGTGGTTCGGTTACCTCAGAACGTTTTCTCCAACTTCCCTCCACAAAAAATACACTTAAACTGCGTGTTAGAGGTATCTTCTTCATCCACAATATGTATTAAGAAAATATGTAGGAATGGACTAACAACAAAACAATCACTTCAAACACTTCTCAAAACTATCATGAAATGCGCAAAATATCAGAACACTTACGCAATTCCTATTCATATATGTCACTAGTGTCGTGTTGAAAAAAACTGTGCAAAGAACGAGTTGAGCGGGATTTGATCGCGTTACGTGAGCCCTAGCTCTAACCAACCGGCTTCCACACACGTCGCCTGTCGCAACCCTACTGACTGAAGAGCGAAGCCTAGCGGACGGTCGGCACGCTAACCTGTACTGGGCTGCCAGACGAGTTCACTAGCAGTTGGTTGCGGGGGGCGGCCGTCAGACTGCGGACAAACAGGGGCAAGCTTTAATAAGACCTTGAGGATGGCTGCGCCGTGTGGTCTGGTAGGCGTTTACGGACGTTTCAAAGGTGTTAGTTCCATCACGGCGGTGCGAAACAAACAAGAACGAAGATGAGTATGTCACAGACACTCATCGCCTTGTTTGTACGTATTTGTCACAGTTTTTCGCCTTGAACCGCAGGAGCACTGGAATCGCAGGTCACATGACGCAAAGAATGAGTCTCCGCCGTTGATGCGTTCTGTTTTTGTACTATGTGGCTCGGTTTTTGAAGGTGTAAAACTTGGCGTCTCTGTGGAAGCAACACAGATTAAGAATGGGAATTGAAGTTCTCACGGCGAAGAATATGAAGATCGCTGTCTTCGGCCGTGTGGTCTGCAAACCACATAGGCGCCACATTCCAGAACTTCGACGCGAGAGAGATGAAATTATGGGAGGTTGGAGATAAATCCGTGAACAGCGTCACAATTTGCATTATTATCGAAATAGAAACAAAAGATAATAAAAAACATTTAGGATGATATGCATAGAACATGCAGCAACTATGATTTAAATGAGAAATGCATGCAACATTTTGGTTTGGAAACCATAGATATGAAGACCTATGGGAGGAGAATAATATCAAAATTGAACCTTAAGGACAAGGTTGGAGAGTGTGGACTAGATTCATTTGGCACGGGACAGGTACTGGTGTTGAGATTTTGTGAACAGGCAAAGGAACTTCGGGTTCAACAAAAGACGAAAACAATTTCTGATCGTAAAATCATTTTCCCAAGCAGATCTCTGCTTCATATAGTTATTATACGTGCTACATGTCCGGCTCATCTAATTCTTCTTCATCTTAATCATTCTTATTATTATGAAGGGTACTGTAACCTTCCCTCCGCTTTGCCTTGTCACTCCACGGAAGTTGCCACGGGTTCAAACCCTGTAGCGTGCCCGGTTGTCTGCGGTTACAACTTAAGATATATTTTTAGGTAGGTGGAAGGATATAAAGGAATATTTTGTGCGGGTTCTGTCGGTGAACAAGAGTCTCAGGGAATATACGGGGAAACCGATGGTTGAAGCACAAAGGAAGCGAAATCTCTTGTCTTGGGCAACTGATAGACGACACTGAGATGTTCTTGGAGAAGTACACTTTTATTGTCACTCGAGACATACAGACACTTAATGTAAGACAGCGCGATGATTCGGATGTTTGTCTTTATATGTTAGATTTTTAGGTTCAAGTAGAATGTGTCTGATCGATTGGAGAACAAAACGTAAGCAGCCGAACAGTACAAGTGCCAGGTTAAGAATACCCCCTAACCCTGATAGACGACACTGAGATGTTCTTGGAGAAGTACACTTTTATTGTCACTTGAGACATACAGCGAAAAGACATATTCAAATTTCATTTATCCGTCGCCCCACAGCTACCGTTCTTTGACAATAATCATTCCTTATCTTGAAAGGCTTAATTTTTCGCCTCGTAAACAAGTTTAACGAGTGCTAGAGCTTTGTGGAAGTCATGTCACCGCTAGACGGAAAGTCTGGAAAGAACGACTGATTGTCGCTTCTCTTTTCCAATTTGATACATTAAACAATGCCAACGTTCACGAAATTAATTAAATTTGGATGAAATAAGGCGTATCTAATTACCATCTAATCACGCCTCCTTCGTTTTGACGTGAAAACGTCTTTAAAATCGATGCCGGGTGTGGGGAGGCAATCGCGCCCAAATGAGCGACAGTTTCTGTCGAAGTAATTTCAAACTTCAATAACTCGGCTAAAAATAGACATAGTCTCGTTCTAGAGAGGAAGGATGAACGTTTGTGCCAGTACCGCTCCGACATTCGTGGCGGCCGGACGTCGCGAACTGCGCACGCGCAAAGTGAACTCACGATTTTCGACTTTCCGGATTCGACACGTGTCCATAAACGGGATCATATCTCAGAGACTAATTATCCGATCCGAGTGAACCAAGTGTTGTTTTGAAGAGGAGTGTATATGTTACAACTCATCTTGGCCTCCAAGTGTGTGTCTCAAAAACTCAAAAAGATACGAGGCTGTGAATTTGAAAAAGTTTGAAAAGTTCCCGATTTTCTTAAAATGTCGCGATATATGAGGGCAAAGTACAACCAGAACTATACACGATTGACGTTTCCACGAAAATAACTGCGGCAGTGTCCGACACTGCCTATCAATTTTTTTATAAACCAGATTAATGCGCCAAAGTCTGGTTTATCTTTTCATCTCAAGGTTCAGCCCGTTCGGGAATCGAACTACGAACCTGGACTGGCACAGTACACTTGAAGGTGGTCATTATACAACAAAAACAACTTTAGAAAATTACGTTATTTCGATTAATGCACTGAAACATGAGAAAAAATATTTACAGATGTATCCACTTAAATAAATATATTAATAAAACATGAAAGGACATCAACATACGTGTGAAGATACAAGAACGGCTAAAGATTTATCAACACACTTGGCCAACTGAATCAGTCACTGTCACAATCCTTTACAGAATCAGCAATTTTCTATGTATTTGAGGAAAAATGTATAGTTACAATCAATGGTCTTCCTAAATATAATCTCGTGAAAATTCATTAACGTCTTCCTCTGTAGCTGATACATTCTTGTTATATAATTAAGGCAGTTTTATTGAAAATATTCTGTAACTTGATTCTAATTGTAGTGTACTTCCTGGGTTAGATTAGTGTCGAAAGAGAATATGCATACCCAAAGTAAACAGACTTTGTGATTATTTCCTCTCGCTGGTTTTTCTCATATTCATAACAGTAATAACATTACAGTATGTTAAAATGAGACCTGTAGGACCAGAGCTTAGAGGGGTTCATACTGAGTTATCACATTTACGTATTCCTTCAAACGCAAAATGAGCGAGAGAACTCATTATTATAGTGGTTTGAGTAAACCGGAAAGTAAATTAACTGTGTCGTCAGGATTCATATTTCTGACAGACTGTTATTTTACGGGGCATTATAGGTAGGATTAGTGCACGTTTACCTGCCTGCCCGCCTAAGCTTCTGCAATGCGCTTCGAAGATAATCATTCAAATCCAGCTCCATGCTCGCGTCTGTTTAACAGAGTTCTTTATACCATTTCATCGTTTTAACACACACCATAGAAATAATATACAAAGTGGTAGGCTATGTAAATGGGGTCTTTATCCTGGCGTCTCGAATGACAGTCAAGTTTGAGTGATAGAGATAAAACATGCTCTAATTTAATCTTGCCTTTTGGATAAACAAACGTCTCTCTTTTTACAGTTCTACTTGTAAATTAAGTGCAGAAGTCGTTAAATGCGTGAAACAACACTTAAGCTTATACTTCTGAAGTGTATTTACTCTATATGATTGTGTAACTAAGAGTCCTTTCATTGTACCTTAAGCTTTTAAATACAAGAATATTCCGAAGAAAAGGCAAGTCACGAAATGGATTAAGCCATAAAAAGGGGTCATAGGCCTGTTGGAAGAAACTGTTTAGGAAGCTGAGCCAATAACTGCCAGAGATGACACAACTATTTGGCCTAATTACTTTTTAAGGAAAGGAAGGCTTATAGCGTTGTCATGCACTCTTATGCGTCACTGTGTCTATATTTCTTCCTCCAAATAACTTTTGAACGAAGTATACAACACTACATCCACACCTTTGTGTAATATAATTCGTTACTTACAATAAAAGAAATATAATAGTAGCCTGAAGTTCTGTGGTGGAAACGACGCAGAGTCCGTGAGAAATTTCCCATCTACGACCTGGTCTCCAAAGCGGCTTCCTTCTTCAGGATTTAGGAATAAATTTTTTTTGTTCATTTACCATAAATTCTATCAAAGTATCACTCAAATTGGACAAACGAGATAATTAAAATTACAGATACAGGATTCATCCCGCTATAAATATGAACATTTATGTTTTTATTTTGTACCTTATATTTTATTATTGTTTTACACTTATATTAGTGTTTACCTAGGTAGGTTATTTTCTTTTTATCAAATTTCTATCTTTGTATTAGTGTTTGCTTGTCATAGGCTCTTTGCTGTTGGCAAACACTCAACAAAGGAATTGAACTATTGTTGTTATTATTATTATTATTTAGTATTATATATTTTATTTAGAATTATTAAATTGAATTATATTACTTAGGTATCGTATTTAGCCCATTTATTTGTGAAATATTATTCAATAAATGAATCGAATTATTATTATTATTATTATTATTATTATTATTATTATTATTATTATTATTATTATTATTATTATTATTATTATTATTATTATTAATATGGTACATTTAATATTTAGTTTCATTTGTTTCTTTCTTTTACTTTTATTATTATTGAAATAAATTAATTACTTATTATATTTTATCCTGTACTCTGGTTTAGTGCTTGGCAGTTATTGGCCTTTTTGGCAGTTTTAAAGCACTTAAATAAATGAATTGAATTTCTTGTACTTGCGATTACTAACCCTTTAAAATTAACATGTCTTATGGTATTTCCTGTTTTGCA